GGCCTTACTTGGAATAGATGACCATATAGGCGGATGCTCAGGTCATCACATCGCTGGCGACGACAAAAATGCATCGCAACGGTCTTGTGGCCTGAAAAACGAAACCCGTTCATGTCACCCCATCTTTCAACGCTGTCGACAGCCAGCTGGAGACGTCGCTCCATCGCTGGTCCCCTCGCTGCACTGGTCCAAATAGTAAAATCGCCAACAGAAAGGGCACGTCCGACCGGCTGGGGGAGCACATCACAAATATAATTTATCATAACTGCGAACAGAGCTACACTTAATACACCGCCCTGGGGCACGCCGTTTATTCGTTCGTACCTATCGGAGAGAACGTTGCCGACCCGAACACGGAAATATAATTTGGCTAAAAACCTTTGGAAAAAAGTACCCATATGGCCACGTATACCATATTTAAAAAGCTTTTGAAGAATACCATGGCGCCATGTGGTGTCCTAGGCGGCTTCAATGTCAAAGAACACTGTCCCCATATGGGCTTTTTCTTGAAAAACCTTACGAACCGTAGTGTCCAGAGTTAAAAGATGGTCCACCGTACTACGGTTTTTCCTAAACCCGCACTGCGAGGTGCTAAAAATATCGTTGTTCTCTAAAAACCAAGTGAGTAGCACGTGTACCATATTTTCCATGAGCTTGGACAGTGATGACAGTGAAATAGGTCGGTAATGAAGAAGGTCCATCCCACTCTTTCCCGGCTTTAGAATAGGCACCACAACAGATTCCTGCCAGGCCGGAGGGAATTCGCCACCTGACTGCACTCTGTTGAAGGCCGCCAGTAGTACACGACGTGCACACGGTGGTAGATGTCGGAGCATCTAATTGTGGATGTCATTATGACCTTCCGATACTCTACGAAGTTTTGCCATTGCCGACTCCAACTCCACCAGAGTGAAGGACTCATTGTACGCCTGTGGTTGCCTTGTGAAAAAGTCCACCACGATTTTTTTTCGCATTGTGCTCTTTGCTGTAAAAACCGTGGGCTTGTGTTTGCACCTTCGCTACGGTGGGAGAATGCTCGGGCGATCTCGTTAGCCACATCCAACGGGTGAGTCACCACCTGGCCGTTAACATGTAGCACAGGAAGTGACACGGATGGAAAATGCCCAGAGATGCGTTTGATCCGAGCCCAAACCTGCGAAGTTGGCATGAATCGGTTGAGCGCGCTCACGTACACACGCCAGGATTCACGTTTCGCTTCTTTTGTCAAGCGACGGGCGAAAGCTCTCGCCTTCTTAAAAGCCACTAAATTCTCCAAGCTACTTCTGGCGTCAAAAGCTCGGAAAGCATGTTTGCGAGCGCGAATTGCGTCACGACACTCCTCTGTCCACCACGGCACAGGAGAACGACGGGGAAATCCAGAAGTGCGCGGGATGTAATCGCTAGCGCAATTTAGCAGTCGGTGAGTAAAATCCTCAATAGAGGGTGCTGCCCTATCACCTCCGGTTTGACATAATGTCTCCAGTCGAGCCTCATACTCACTCCAGTCAGCCTTTTTAAAATTCCAACGTCGTGGTCTTACACCCAACGTTCCTCTTATCTGGAATCGGAGTCACACTGGGAAATGACCGCTGCCCAGTGGATCATCTGCCACAGACCACTCGAGGCTCTCCACCAGCTCGGGACTAGAAAGGCTTAGGTCAAGCGCGGAAGTCCGACCATACGGAAGTGTAAAATGAGTACGAGTCACTGTGTTTAAAATACACAGTGACGAGTCACGGATAAAATGTTCACAAGTCCTTCCGCGGGTGTTCGTGCTATCACAGCCCCACGCAGTGTGATGAGCGTTAGAGTCGCCTAAAAGAAGACATGGTGAAGGCAACTCATGCACTGAACGTCTCATCTCTTCCAATGGAAAAGCGACGCCAGGTGGAAGATATAAAGAACACACCGTGACGTAACGGTGATTTAAACGTAGGCGTGCGGCTACAGCCTGTACCGTAGACTGCAGGTTCAACCTCCTGGCTGGCATGCTATGGTGGACTGCAAGGAGGACACCGCCATGTGCAATACCGTCGGTTAACACATCGTTGCGAAACAGGGCGTAGCCCTTCAGCGTGCAGTGGTGACTAGAAGCCAGCTTGGTCTCTTGCAGCGCTACGGCTGCAGGACAGTGCTTGCTGACGACAGCCTGGAGGTCGAGGGCATTCTTCCTTTATTCATCTACAGTTCCACTGTAAAAAGGCTTGTAAAGGGGGCGTGTGAAAAAGGCGGTTGTAGGTCACATACTAAAACTGGACACGTCCTAAAAGAACTGGGCTGCGCCAGTTGCAGGAGCAGACGTTTCAGATTAAGCACCACGGTTCGATTCTGCAGGAACGTGCCCCACTCTGGAACGAATTCTGGGGCTCCCTCCGTCAGATGGAGACGGGGGACCGGCCGGGGCACGCTTCACGCCAGCGTACCGAGTCCGGGGTGGCGGCGGGGGAGGGCCCATCGGCGGGCCTCTACCGGACGTCTGGGGGTCAGCGGGGGCCTCCACTGGCCTTCTCGGCGGTGGTGTACCACTGCGAGGGGTGGGCTCCTTGCTTGCACCGGACAAACAATTGGCCGCCTTAGCCACCTCCAACTCGGCCAAGCAGGCCCGCTTGGGGTCGCGGGCGCGCCTGCCTGCCTCATGCCGTTCCATCGTTTCCACTGCCCGTCCACACGCACTCGCCGGTGTCGCCGGAGGCGACGAGGGCAGCGGAGCGCCAGACGGCGAGGACGGCCGAGCCCGCGGACCATGGCCGCGCTTGACCGCCGTCCATCCCTCCTCCTCCCCCGCTAGCTACCCTGACGACACCTGAGGGGCCGGCTGCCTAGCGTTGGTCGAGCATGACGCAGCTGAAGGACCCGGAGATTCCGACTGGGCGAGAGTCACCCGTCCCGCTGGCACCACAGACAAACCGAAGGATCGCAGAAGCGCGATGAATTGGACCGCTGACATGTGATTGATGCTGGTGGACTGTAGTACAGGGGTTTGGGAATTTTCAGCATAATATACATTGGGATGATTAGCCTCATACTGTTCACGCGCCTCGCGGAAATAGATGTTCTTTGAGGTTTTCAGTGAGATAATTTCCTTTTCCTTCATGAAGACTGGACAATTTCGATCGAAAGTTGTGTGCGGTTCCTGCCCTGTGCCGGAACGGAAAGAATTCGGAACGAAGACTCCGACTTTGACAACGGCGTGGCCAATGTGGATATCAGACGGTAGATCAGGCCGGTTAAATGTTAGTATAATGCTGTTTGCAGGGATTTGGTCATTACCCCTCCTGGCCGTGATCCTGCGCGCTGCGGTGATCCCAAAGATTCCCAATTCTTCGGTGATTTCCTCCTCACTGACGTCACAAAGGTCATAGCAGTTTATGATGCCTTTTGAGAATTGGAGCGGTGTGGCCGTGACTGGCACGCTCACGTCTCGCTTTCCACCCTCGGTTCTCGCGGCGTTAACAAATTCAGTGGCCGCCATGGCTCGAGTCACATCGGTGCCGCTTGCAAACTCCATCTCGACCGCGCCATCTCTCAGCTTATCACAGCGGGTGATTTTTCCCAACTTGTCGCATCCGTTTCGGCGCTGAAACGGTGAAAGCGATGCTAGGTTCTTCACATCACTCCGGAAGACAAGAACGCGTGGGGCAGGTGGAACTGACTCCTCGCTGCGCCCTAAGTTCATCGCAGTCCGTCCCCCTCTCGGGGGGCGAGTGTTTTTGGGGTTTGTAGTTGCCATGCACTTCAATTGTTAATTTCGGCACCCGGGCTCCCCACCCACCTCGGAGACCAACTGGGGGACGGCCCAACACTCCCTCGGGAGGTGGTCACCGCCAGGGCTACCCCGGTGCTATACGAGGCGAACGACACCTCCCGCACGACCAGGTGTAACCGGGTAGACCCCTCCCCGTCTTGACCGTGGTTCAGCGCCGCCGCCCCTTGACCCCTTAAGCCGCTGCGCGCGGTTAGGCACCCCAAGCGGAGATCCGCAAAGAGCACTCAACCGCAACGCGAGCGACAAGCCGCTAGACCCGTGTGGGGCTCCACGGGCCCCCCACGCCCCGGATATCCTGGCCAAAGTGGAGTCTTGGGACGCGCCGTGACTGACCCGCACGACGCGCCCCTCAGCCACCAGGATCCGATCGACCCGGGGACGCGGGCGAGGGGGCACGGCGACCACGATAAAACGAGGGTGAGGAGTGGTGATAGGACCGGATGAGGGAGTGCGGGTAATGTGGAGGGAGCGGGCGGGACAAGGAGCAGGAGCTCACGTACCGGCAGGGTCGCTACACCCTGAGAAGCACAGCTTGCGCTGTCCACCCGTTACCGGAGCTGGGACCCGAGGGGGCGCTAGTCCCCTAGACCGGCGGAGGCCGGTGCCCCTGCGGGGTGTGTAAATCACATCACGATGTGATTCACAGGTGTGTGCATCCATCATGAGTGCGTCTACACAGAGCACCTTCTCTGCTTAAATCCGCTCGCGAGTGAAATCACACAGAATGGCGCTTCTGCGTATATCACGTCATGAATGAATCTACACAGAACACCTCTGCTTAAGTCCACTCATGAGTGTATATACACAGAATGGCGCTCCTGTGTAAATCCACTCAGATCTGAGTCGATTTACTCCTGAAGCCACACTTGTATAGATCTACTCACAAGCGGATTTACACAACAGTGCGTTTATGTGTAGATCAGCTCAGATCTGAGTCGATTTATACAGGAGTGGCATTCTGTGTAAATCCATTTCGTAGTGTAAATCCACTTCGTAGTGGATTTAAGCAGACGAACTGTTCTGTGTAGATGCACTCATGAGTCCATTCACACCCGTCTTATCTTATTTGGCAGCATTCTGGCGGCATTTCTGGTGACCAGTCAGCTAGAACTCCTAAGTTTGCCTTGAGATATTTCGTCAGGAAAAGTTTCCAGCGATTTGGAAACAAATATCCGCGTGCTGCATGGTCACTGTTACTCTGTTCAGTGTTCTGTTGCCCTGCCCTGTTCTTTGCGGCGTGTTGGGGCCGGGAGGTTGGGGGTGAACGCCGGCAAGCAGGGGAGGGGTTTGGAAGAGTTGATGTCTCAACCTTTGTAGTTATTTACAAGACAAGCGGCAGTGCCCTCTTAAGTAACGGCAGGTCAGTGAATTGTTAAATGAAGAGGTTGGCTGGGTGGAAGGAAATTCCAGGGATCATCTACTGAATCACTGATTCTGGTAAGCGCCGCACGATGGAGGAACATTCGTACATTAGCAGCTATCAGCACCCCATGGCCAGTGTTGTGGATTTGTAAGTGTGATTTGCTGCATGATTTGCACGCATGCCACGAAAGAGGCTTTTATGAGATGTAATATTAATTTGGGGTCAATTTTTTGATTGGTTTTAATGGCTGGTAGTGTGCAGGTACATACATTACTAGAAGTTTGGTCAACATTGGGCCTGTAGTCCAGTCTGTAAAGAATTCATCCCCTGGACTGAATGCCCATTGATAAGTGTGCTGAAACTTGAGTGCACATGTGGTAAGCTCATGCAAAGCTGACTTGTGCTGATTTGAAATTGTGGGAAAATGTTCTTGCAGCATTTTTGTAAGACATTACCTTTGCAACATTATTATTTCTCAGAAATGCCTCTTTATGCAACTGGTATTGGTGTGCACAGGAATTTTAAGTGCTCAGAAATATGTAGTCTAAACCTTTCAAACAGGTAGATTTCTCAGATAAAAGCTCATGCTGAGCACTGGGTGTGGTGTAGGCCATGACCTGTACCATCCAGTTGTGTAATTCCAGGGTAACAGCAAACATTGGTAAGACAATTTTAATGCTCTGTGATGCTGCACAGTGTCTTTCCTGCCCTCTGGTGTCACATGACCTTAAGTCTGAATGGTGCCACCACCAGTTACAGGCCATGGCTGTCAGGGGCAAATAGTAAGGTTTTAGGCAACTCGAATCCATTCTATGGATACTATGTTGATCTGAACCCTTTGAATGGATGGATTTGGGGAATCAGAGCTTACAACAAGCAGTGCTTGCATGGGTTCAGACCCTTAATATCTGATTGCATGATTCCAGGCAATCCACAGAATTAGGTGGGGAAAGTTAGATGTATGGTAATGCTCATTGCCATCCCTCCTGCCCTCTAACTCAACTGCTCAACTGACCACATGTGTGATCACTGCCACCTGCCACAGGCCATGCCTGTGGAGGGCAAATAGCAAGCAATGACTGGAACTTAACAGCTAGATGGTTGGATTAGAACACAAGTGCTCTAACCAATAGAGCCACAGGGACAACTGATATGACTAGGCTTGGATTGTAGCATGGACTGGAGGGCAGTTGCTCTAACCACCTGAGCTATCAGGATGGACAATACATGCTTACTTGTGAAGTTGTAGCAGCAGTGTCACTGCTAAGTGCTATGTTGTACTTTGTTGGCATAGCATGTACTTTTTTGCCCTCTGGCTGGTAGGCAGAAATGTGGACATTATCCAAAAGTTGTGATACAATGAGATATAAGTAGAATTAAACATGAAGGGAGTTACAATCATTGATATGGCTGGGTATAGGCTTACTCAAGCATTTGGTACTGATGGGATTCAATTGTGTTCCATCTATATTTTGTTTCCAATTATGTCATTGTGTTGGTTGCCTTTTTAATTAGAACCTCACTGGTATACCCATATGCATTTATATACCACCATTGATCTGCCACTGTCATTTGCAATCTGCAGCATTTTGGCAGTTCAGAAGGACCACAACCTTGACAAAATCATCAGCATGGGCTGTGCATATACACTGTATTATTGTTAATATGCTGGAGCTCCTCTACAGAAACAATTGTGCTTCATGGTTCATCATGGCTCATTTAAAAAAATGTGATATCTAAATGTTGCCAATTGGGAAGTGTCAAGTATGACCATTTTCTAAAAAAAGAGTATGTGGTTTTACAAAATAAGAGTATGCTTCCCAAGAATGGTCAAGCCCAGACCCCTCATTAAAACTTGAAGTATTTTATGTGATGCCTGTCTGTGCCATTGTGGCCACTATACATTTGACTGCTGATAACCAGTGCATATGTGGTCCATCACTGTTGTGTTCTTACCAGCCTGTAGAGTAACAGAAATAAACTATTCCCAGAATTTATCTATCTCAAAGAATTTGTGGAGGAGAGGCTTACAATGGTTGGTGGGTGTCTAGCAAACCATGAGCATAAGAATTTTCAGTCATGGATGGCTCGGCCACTAAGATTGTCATGTCAGCTTTTGGTGTTGATTGGAGCTTACTGAGGCTCTGTTTATTTTCCAGAATGTGAGCATGCTATACATGTTTAGGGAAGGTATTATGATATAGGTGAACCTCAGAGGGCCAATACAAAATTACATGCACCATGCCACTGTGACATCTGATGAAGTGGCACATGATGCGGAAGTCTGTTTTGTCCTTCCAATTATATGTTTTGTGTACAGGTCATGTAGTCAGTCAGTCAATGTTATCAGTCCACATGAACTGGGCAACATGTATGGATGGATCACTGGCAGACAATTTTCAGACACACATTTTGGATGTTAGCCAAGCTTTTAGAGCTTGCTGTGCTTTGCATGTAGCCATACAGTACCAGCAAGAAGTAATGCAACTGTAGTAACAGCTAAGAAGACCTGCAGATACTGAAAATGGCAGAAAAAAATCTATTCACTGGGACAGCATTTTATGGCAGCTGCAACAGTCTTTTAAGCATCTGCTGCATTTTTAGCAGCATTTCGTAAGATATAAAAAATCTGGTAGCACTTTGTGGCAATCATCTATGAGCTCTAGCTCTGGTGCATGCAATGCTGGCGTCACACTAAAGGGGACACTCACTTATGGACCAGCCATCAGAAAATCAATGGTGGAAATGAAGAGCTGATCCCATAGATGCAGAATACTTTGGAGGCACTGACTGATAATCAGCTGGCTGATGACGACCAATACGACGATTTTGCTGCTTCACTGGCTCAGCGATTCGCGAACCAGCGTCCGCGGTACCCGTGTGCCGACGTCGGTGCATGCGTTCCTGTGTATCACCGAGACGTGGCATTTCTGTTCAGTTTCGGGATATTTGGCGAGGAGGCGAAGGAAGCACGGAACAGGCATGCTAGATCATATCGGCTGAGTCTCGCCAGAAACGATTCCGCGGTCCACAAAATGACTCGGACGCAGACTCGGACTCAATGCAGCGAGTTGTCGTCAACGGTGATCCTGCCATTGGCAGGATCGCTTGGCAACAATGTCATCAACGGATCCTGGGTACTGATCCGACCACACTGGAAACCCATCACTTGAGCAGGCACAGCGGCAGGCTGACCTGTTCACTTTGGAGTACGGAGTCACTCGAACAGGCACAGCGGCAGGCTGGCCTGTTCACCTGGGGATACGGAGTCACTTGAGCAGGCACAGTGGCGGGCTGACCTGTTCATCTGGGGTTACGGAGTCACTCGAGCAGGCACAGCGGCAGGCTGACCTGTTCACCTGGGCGTACGGAGTCACCCGAGCAGGCACAGCGGCAGGCTGACCTGTTCACCTGGGAGCACGGAGTCACTCGAGCAGGCACAGCGGCAGGCTGACCTGTTCACCTGGGGGTACGGAGTCACTCGAGCAGGCACAGCGGCAGGCTGACCTGTTCACCTGGGAGTGCGGAGTGACTTGAGCAGGCACAGCGGCAGGCTGACTTGTTCACCTGGGAGCACGTAGTCACTCGACTTAGAATAAGCTGAATGCTGAATAAAGTCGGACTTCCTCACGATCCCCATTCCACCAATATGTTACGGGTTGCAAGAACATATGTACATACACATAAAGGCCAGGACACTTTCCATGCACAGTGACTTTTTATCGCTTATTTAATAGTTAGTGACCTTCCACTCTACGGTCCACAAAATAGACATATATGGTGGGGGATGGGAAGGTCGGCGAGAAAGTAGACAGATATGGTGGGGATGGGGAGGCGGGTGAGAAGATAGACAGGTATGGTGGGGGATGGGGAGGCGGGCAAGAAAATAGACAGGTGTGGTGGGGGATGAGGAGGCGGACGAGAAAATAGACAGCAGACAGGTGTGGTGGGGGATGGGGAGGCGGGCGAGAAAGTAAACAGGTGTGGTGGGGTATGAGGAGGCGAAGGAGAAAATAGGTATGGTGAATGTTGGGGAGACGGGCGAGCTTCAATATCCGTAATTGCTGCCACCTCTGTAGGTAGGCATTGCTTACACCATGTTCTGCATTTTTGGAAGATATATTTGTGCGCATGGTTCATATCATATTGTAGCTAGGATTTGAATAAATACAGCAATGGATGAGCGCCATATGACCAGGTTAGTTGGCGCGCCCTAAAGCCAAAATAATCAATACAGCAATGACAGTTGTTCACAAATTATGTTCTGATGTCAAGATCATTGGAGGTCGGCATGATCGTGATGACCTGAAAACTTTCGCTGTCCAGGTAAACCCTGACAATCAACCTCCTGGCTAACTGCTGAAAGTATACCACTCCGATTTTTCACGATCAGTTCCGAATTCATTGCGGAGTATCAGGCAGTTCGACATGGGTGCAGTGATCGATCAGTTGAAGGCAGGGAACGCTTTAGGTCGGACAAAGTCATATAGTCAGGATATCATGAATATGTTCAAATCGATAATCTGGTAAATGATGGTTGAATGATATGATGATTGCCGGGTAAATTAGTAATCTAATAAGCCAGGATGACCAGCAGGGCTTGCTTCGGAGCGCCCTGCTGGTAATATTTTGTACCGAAAACTTCGATGTTGGTACCAAAAGGTCTGTTTCGTTCTTTCCGAACAGTCTGCATGGTCATGTCTTTCTTGGTTTAAGATCGCGCAAAGATCGTGTCTGATCAAATTAATGGGGGTGAGGTTAGGGACCATTTTATAACCCCCAACAGTCTTATATGGGTTCATCACAAGTTTAGGGATCTATGAAGGGTATGCATGCTACAAAGGATGGCTACTTGGTAGGGAAATGTTTCAAATTGTGAGCAGATTTTGGGTTCGTGACTTGGTCACGTCATGTCACGTAACTCAACCATCTTAGGTGACCTGTGCATGTTTATGATAGTTTGTTGTTGGAAAATTTGCGATGACTAGATGCTGAGCATTGGTAATCATTGGCTGAGCTGTTGGAAGTCCTGTAGCAAGAGGACTGTCTAGAAAGCGCCGTGGCCGTCCGTCAGAGCGTTCCATCACCGTGTGGGCGAGGTCCATCATTCGCCTGGTTAAAGCATCCGTTGCATTGAAAGTGAAGGAGCTTTGCACACGGCAAAAGTGGTCTCGCCGGGTCAGCAAGCGGTCTCGCCAGGGGCCGGGCCGCGTCGCCGTGCAGCCCCTTCCCCCGGGTGGTGCGGTGCCGTCCCGTCCTGTCGCCACGGCCCCTGCCGCCAGTGTTTACGTGGTGCGCGCGCTGTCCACTGTTTACTGGCGGCGGCCGGAGCCGGGCGCCGGCCGGCCACGTGCCGGGCGAGCCTCAGTGCCGGCCGGCGCCGCCTCACGCCCGCTCGCCGCCGCCCGCAGGTCCGCCATGGAACACGGCAGCGTCGAGGAATGCGTCGAGGAGTGGAGCACGCTCAGCGACGAGTACAAGTCGCTGGAGGTGGGTCGAGGCGGGCGACGAGCGCAGACACTGGGCGAGGCTGCGTCCGGTCCTGGTGCATAGTGTACGACTAGCCGCGACCTTCCGTGTTCTCTCAGCCCCGGGAGTGATGCCGTTTGTCGGCTGGTGACCCTCGGTTGGTGCGAGCCACGCGTGGCTCAAAAGGTTCCCATCCCCTCTTTGTGCTGTCGCCGCGGCTGTTTCCCTGCTGGAGGTGTTTGAAGATGGTGCTGTCACTGCATCATTGTGCATGGTTGTGCCGACCGTCTGTGTCGCTAATTTCTAACAGCTCCTTGCCGGTGATTCTTCACCATAACTGCAGGATTTATCTGGTGCCATATGCACATAAATGACCTGTTTATTTGTTCATTTTTGGCGCAAAACACCAGTGGATTCTCTCGACGAGATTTCGCATTGGTAATCAGTTGTATATGCTGCTTATTCAATACTTAGATTGGTTATGCCAGGTTAAAATTTCCTGAAAATCGAACTTTTGCAGCTCTGCACGGACACATGTATGAGACCATGTTTCGTAACGGCACAATACCTCTACAAGCGTGTTCATTCAATTTTGAGCATTGTAGTCTAGAGTTTGGTGTCTTGAGCATGTGTTTATGGTGTATGGCTCCGTTAGTGTAACAGTGTCGGCACGCCTCGCGCGTCCTGCGACATCGTTAGCTGCCGTTCGCTGCCCGTGCCGGTCGTAGATCGCCGTGCAGTGTTCCTCAAAAACTGCCGCGGTTCTGAATTACAAAAGCTAGAGGCACGTTTTTGGTGTCAAAGCACGTCCAATGAATGCCCTATAGGCTACTGAAAACTTGGGCTCCTTTGCACGATATGCGGGCGAGGAATCATCAGAAAATATTACGGGCAGGAGGTCGCATCGGCCCCTGTCATGGTGGGGGTTAATCTTTTGATACACATTCTACGACCCGTCTTTAATTTTTAACGCTGATGTTTTGTCAGCCCTTCGATGGACTGAATTGAGGCAACCGAAGTCTTCCATTACACCGTTTGGTGATGGCCCTTTTAGAAGCAAGCCGCCTATAATCTCGTGCGTCATGGGTCCAGACTGCCTCGGTCTCGTTGTGCAGTTCTGCGGTCTGCCGGGCGTGGCCGCGTCGCTCCTCGTGAAGACGCCTCCCACCGGCCTCCTGCTGACCCCACTCGACCCCCGGGTCGCGGCGCCCACCGGGACAGGTGCCGCCGGCACGATAAGATTGGCCGGGGTTGCTGGGACCTGAGACGCGCCGGCGCGGGCGAGCCTCCCCGTCTCGCCACGAGCGGCGCCGGGCAAAGGGCGGGGCTCACAGAAGTCCGAAGGTCGGCTCCGGAAGGCACCAAACCCGCCCTCCAGACGCCGTAGTAGAGGCGTGGGGAGGTGCATGCGCCCAGTTTTTCGCTTATTATTATTATTTTTTGGGTCGCTGTCTGGGTTTGCGTCTGGACGCAGTCTCTCGGATGGTTTTGTGCAGGCAGTGTACCTGCACCCTGACATGGATAGAACAAAAACTGGGTCTGGTCAATAAAATGTACAGAATGTCCCGTTTGAGTTGCCTTCGAACTGAGTTGCTATCATCGTGGGGACGTTTAATGCATTATCCATTCACTGTCTCCCCGGTACACCCGGTTTCCCATCATGGGCTGGGGTAGGGCTGTGAGTCCAGCCGTCCCCTGGCTGTATAACTGCGCGGGTGGAGCGTCCAGCTCCCGACACAGGGGTAGGGCTGTGAGTCCAGCCGTCCCCTGGCTGTATAACTGCGCGGATGAGCGTCCAGCTCCTGACACAGTCACCCGTAGACAGCTTGCGGGCCCGCACCGCTCGAGTGTCGCTGTTGCCCATTCGCCACCGTGGGCGTAGGAACAGGGGGGGGGGGGGTGCAGGGGGGGGGGGCATGAGCCCCCACTTTTCAAGGTGGGGGAGGGGGGGGGGGCCGGGAGTGCTAACTGGTCCCCGCACTTTTCAGACTAAAGCTGGTGCTTTTGCACCACATTAAGCATGCGTGCCGATTTACCTAGTTCACCAGCCATCTTCCTCAAGATGCATCACCTTTTTAGTTCGCTTATTGACAGTCGGTTAATGTCACAGCCGCAGACCGACGCCGTGCGGCCAGTGGAGACTGCAACGCCGGGCGTCGAGGCTGTCGTTGCTATGACTTGCGAGCGCTCGTGTCCAAAACCATGTCACACAATTTTTTACCGGCTATCAGTTCTGACTGACTCTTGGACATTTTAAGACGAAGATGGATTGGTCATGTTTGTACAAATTTGGGACTCCATTTCGTTTATAATCTACGTTCAAGGAGTTACCTCTTAAGCCTTGCCTCCATGCCTCTTAAGAACACAGAAAACATGGCATTGGAGTCTGTGTGACAATCATTGGACCATCTGCGGCGAATAGGAATGTTGTGGCATCAATGCAGGTTCCCGTGCTGATCCGGAGCGAACTGCGCGGGTCAGAAGGCCTCCCGTGTCAGGGAGGGGAACAATGTGATATGGTGTATAATTATAATGGTCTCCGGATCAACCAGGAGAACCCACCCCGTGTCGCCAGAATAACAGCCAGATGGCACTTTGCAATGGGCCGGAATGGCCCTTCAGCCTTTGGCCGGAACCGGTTGTGCCCCAGGTGTTCTGCTCAAGGGCCCCTTGCCCGGAAGGAAATAAGGGGTCTCATTATTGTTGAGTGGAGTGGGTCGAAATGAATTAAAACAACGAACAAGGCCATCCCATGTTTGCCTGAGAACGCTCATTTTTTGTAGAACGGATTTTTTAAAAAAAAATGCATCAAAAGGTTTGAACATGCCCGCCCGCAACCTCGGGAGCAAGGACAACGATGGCCTGGGTTGCAGCTTCCGTAAAACCGAACGGCGTCAGCCACTGCAAGTGCCACCAGACTTGCAGTGTTACGGGAAGACAGGGAAACACGGCGGGCGCCGTGTTGCTGTTTTCTAGACACATAAGTTGTCACAGAAACACGAAAAATGGAGATTCTTTTACTCTTCCAGTTCCACCACCACCAGCACCACTTCGCGGTGCTTTAAGGGCAATCCGTTCTTATCAGTTTAAGAATAGCACACGTGAAATATGCGCCCAGACGGTCTTCTAAATGTACGATTTGATGCCCTGAAGCGTTGAAATGTACCTTTTCCGAAATGTCATCATTTTCGTCCACCTGTTGGCCAGGGCTCAATATTAACTGCTGGACCAACGCCGCGCGGCCTGCGGAGACTGCAACGCCTGGCGTCGAGGCTTTGTTTCTAAGATTTACGAGCATGCATGCTTAAAATTACGTCACGTAATTTGTCTTACTAGCCCATTTAAATGTTCAAAGGTAGTTATTTCAAAAGTGCCATCATTTTTGTCCACCGGTGGGCCACGGGGAAAAAATAGCCACTGGGCAAACGTGCCGAGGACTGTGGAGACTGCAACGCCTCGCGTGAAGGTTTTTGTTGCTAAGATTTGCGAGCGCGCGTGTTAAACAACCACGTTACATAAATTATATCACTTATCGATTCTGACTGAATGCTATATCTTTCCAGACAAACATGGCTTGGCCATGTTAATACACATTGTTGACCACTTGATCTACAATCAAATTTTCATCTTCAAATTTCGATCAAACATATCCATCTACAATCTGCCTTCGCGATGCACTTAATGTCTGAAGAAACTAGATAAAAATTCTTGGATTTTCGCCTCCCCAGGAAAGACAATGTTGAAATGGACGAATCGTCCTGGAAAGCTGGATAGCCTTATTTGCCGAGTAACATAGATGAGTCGAGTAGGCAAGATTGTGCACTAATGAGGAACAGCTCTAGATGTATATCTAGCATAGCAGCCATGACTTTTAAATAAAGATCGGTAACAACCTCCATCTCTACCCCCTCCCCCCAGTCATCAGGCTTGCTTTCCAAAAATGCCAGAAGAAGTTCCTGAAGTACGGCCTGAGCCTGCCCCCCCCCCCCCCCTCCCCCCCCCTCCCCCCCCCCACACACTTTTTGAAACGTTCTTACGCCTATGCTCGCCACACATATCCCATCATATCATACAATTTTGGAAACATCCGGTTAACGCAGCGACGTCACGTCGAAATGTTGCGAAGAGGGCCTCAGGGTAGACCGTCGGACCGCCTCACATTGCTCAGCAGGAGGTCTTGATCAGGCCGCTGCAGCAGTCCTGGAGACCACTGCCAGCGAATCAAAACCGGCAGAGACGTCTCTGAGATGGCCACTAATCATCGGCATCTCGGCGATCAGTGACCGCGTTAGAGGTGTGCGGGTGTACTGGATCTCCTGTCAGCGCCAGTTGGCTCCCGGGAGAGAACTGCTGCGCAGCTGGCCGGTCCAAGCATTCGGACTGACTGCACTGCTACGAGGGTGGCGTAATATCGGCCGGGACTATGCATTGCGGGCACCTGTCCTGCATTCGTCCGTGTGCACCTTATCTGCCAGCTTACGGACGGGGCTCAGCCGCGCTCTCTGCCGCCCTCGTTTCAGGCCGTGCACAAGGAGTACCTGGAGCGACTGCAGGACGTCAGCCAGCTGCAGGCCAAGTGCGTCAAGAGCATCAGCCACCAGCGCTACCGGCTGGGCATCATCAACAAGTCCGCTAAGGGGTAAGCCGGTCGACGGACGCCCCTTGCTCAGTGGACGGCGAGCGCGTCCGTACAGCGCGCTGCGATGGGTGAGCCAGTCGGTGAACGCCTCCTACTCAGTGGACAGCGAGCGCGTCTGTACAGCGTGCTGTAACGATTGTGCGCTCGCTCGTAGGCAGGCTGGCGTGCTGACGCATGCCGCGTGCGACATGCGCGCTCTGTGTGACTGGTCCTGCGCCCGTGGCTGGGACGTAGGACCTGCGTGGTGGCGGCGCAGCGGCCCGTACGCGGCGGCTGCTGCACTGCGGCTGGCGCGTTGCGAGGCGCGCTGGTGGGATGGCTCCTCGCTTGGCGCGCGGTGTCGCAGCGCTGGGGCGTCCCTCTGGTCGTATCACCGAGGTCGTCTCGGTGGGCTCGTATTGGAGGCGCGTGTCGTGCGCTGCTCGGCCGTCACACCTTGCCGGACCGCCGTGTACTGCTCGGCCGTCATACTGTACCGGACCGCCGCACACTTCTCGGCCGCCACACTGTGCCGGACCGCCGCGCACTGCTCGGCTGTCACACCTTGCCGGACCGCCGCGCACTGCTCGGCCGTCACACTGTGCCGGACCGCCGCGCACTGCTCGGCCGTCACACCCTGCCCGGACCGCCGCGCACTGCTCGGCCGTCACACTGCGCCGGACCGCCGTGCACTGCTCGGCCGTCACCTTGCCGGACCGCCGTGCACTGCTCGGCCGTGCTGGACCGCCAGCGCAGGCCGAGCATGGGCCAGCCGCCAGCTGTGACCTGACCGGACGCTGTCGTGCCACAGGCTTCCCCGCGATGACCCGGAAGTGCAGATCAAGGTCAGCGACCTGGAGAAGGATATCCTGCGGCGGAAGGCGCAGCTCTACCAGATGGAGAACTATCTGCCGCAGGAGAACGACGTCTACCTGAAGATCATTCTAGGCTGCGTTAACGTCTCCATATTGAATAAGAATGACCGGTGAGATCACGCTTTCGATTCGGCAGGCTATGTGGTGCCTGTTATGCAATTATATATTGATCACTGACCTTTCTTTGAGCCGCCACCGTGTGTAATACATCAGTTTTGTGTAGTCAAGCGTGTGGTGAGGGTTTGAACCAACTGACGGTGCGGGCGTGGTTACATGTGTCATTGGTGTCCTCGATACCCACAGCTTTGGGTTCATTGGCTCTTTCCCTCTGTAGTTCCAGCGCGTGGTATCCCGGAATCTTTCTCTCATTACGCGCTGGCATGGCCGTGAGGAAACGGTTCCCACGAGAGCTGGGTGCTCGGGGTGATCGGCTCGTTCCGGGCTCTGGACACATCGGCTGAGGATTTAGCAGCACGCTCTCGCCGCCCAATGGTCCTGTCGCACACAGGCTCGGCTGTGGCGGAGCAAAGCGTGGCGCTCTGGACTTCTGCCTTTGGCACCCTGTTTGATGGCGTGCCCGGATTCTCGGAATGCCACGTTGGCTATCTCAGTTTCCAAGCATCAGTTTTAGTTGAGGCTTTTTGGAGATCCTTGTTTGGGTTATTTGCAGTTGGCAACCCTCTGTTCTTGGGATGATGGTATCACTGCCGTCGTGCACTAATGACAGCATTCTAAGCGTTTTTTCTCCGCCCTACGCAGGAGGTGTGTTATCTGATTTCGTGGCGTGACGCGTGCTGTGATTAGCACATGTTTGCTTGTACGTTCAGGTACAGTGACCGGCGCGATCCTTGGTTTTGTCCGAAGCTCTGCGCTGCTGCACAAAAGGATAGCCTGACCGGTTGGCCTCATTTCCGATGGCAAGCTCCCATGAGGCATTGCGTAATATTATTGCAAAAAATCTATGAGACTAGGAGGCCAGAGCGTAACGCATGCCAGGCGGCGAGGAAATCCTCGTAAGCCGCATCTTCATGCGCACTGGCTTAAAATCTGGCGTCTTTTTATACACGTTACAGTATTGCGCTCTAAAATCGGGCCCCACATGTCACGTGTCACTTGTTCACCAGCTCTCTCTCGTACTCGACGGAACGCCAACAGGGCGCTATGGGCTTCACCGGCCTTACGCTCTTTGTTCGGTGGTGATGAGCAGTGATGAGGTAACCCATCCATTTGCTTTGGGCGCCGCCTAAGGACCCCTTTGGCGGCCGGTGTCGCATGTGGGGCATCTTGTCACCAGCTGGCTCAGCCTCGATCGCCGCCATTCTGCCAGGGGAGCGAGACTTGCGGGCCGCACCGCGTCTGCGACGGCTCCTGAGCCAGCATGTCCGTCTCCAGGCGGGTGCACAGCCGTCCTCGCGTCCGTGAGGGTCAGCACTGATCTGGTGTTCTCTCCTCCTGCAGGTTCAAGTACAAGGACGAATACGAAAAGTTTAAGCTAGTGATGAACGCCATCTCTATGGCTATTGCCCTGACGTGTCTGTTTTGGCAAAATCGGTGAGTCTGAGCTGTTGTAGATGCGGTGATTTGCTCTGCTTGTTGGAGAGCCAGGCATCACGGTGGAGGTACCATGCGTTTGAACGTTGACGCAGTTCTTGCCAACTGGATGGCGGGCTGTTATTCGTGTTGTGCCGATCATTGACGAAATCACCAGTAGTGTGCCCGATTACTTTCCATGCCCAGTATTCCCGACCCGCCGCTTTCCGCAGTGTTGTCACGCTGATTTGATGTGTGCCACTGCTGAGAGGGCCTTACATAGTTTGCTTGCCTGCTCGTAACAAGTCCTCGAAATACAGACATTGTGTGTTGTTCGCCAGACATTGAGCTTGCCAAAATAGCCGAGTTTAGTTGAGTTTTAGGTGGGGCTTCACACCAGTGATGTGCAGGTACCGCAAGCGGATTAAAAAACATACACATTCGTACGCCTTTTGATGCGCCGTGCGCCCTGGGCGTGTGAAGCGCGCGCTGCCGCTCGTCCCGTGCTGTGAACGTCATCCGGAGATGGTGGCGCCATCTTGCGTTAAGGCGGGGCACGTGACCTGCTGAACTCAGCGTCTCGGTGTGCTGTGACATCATCTGCAGGGCGCTCTGTGCCAGAATGTTTTATGTTGTGCTGGATAATATTTTACGAAGCGCTATGACTTTGTATATGAATCAGCGACCCAGCCCTACCCTGCCGCGTGCGTTTGACTTGCGTACAGATTTGCAGCCCATAGGCACAGAGGGTGACGTTTTGGCGACGCAGGCGTGGAGGAATGGCGCGGCCCCGTCTTGTGACATTTATATGGTTGTTGTTACGTTGTCTCATTTCCGTTTGGTGTTCATGCTGACCTCACGACCTTGACGGCGCCGGCCCGCCGGCCGCAGGATCCTGGACCTGGTGTTCATGTTCATGCTGGTGTGGTACTACTGCACACTCACCATCCGCGAGTCGATCCTGCGGGTGAACGGCTCGCGCATCAAGGGCTGGTACCGGGCCCACCACTTCATCTCCTGCGTGCTGTCCGCCATCCTGCTGGTCTGGCCGGTCGGCCCCGTCTACTACACGTTCCGCTACCAGTTCAACCTGTTCAACGTCTACATATGTGAGTGTGCAGCGGGTGGACGAGAGGAGAGACCGTGCGATTGTGGGTTTGGGTGTGCCTTGTGTTGTAGTTGGCGACTGATGAACCCGGCCAGTGGAAGTCAGAGCTCTTTCCATGACTGTTTTTAAGTGCTGAACATGTTTTGGTTGGGTTCGGTACTGGAATATTGTGACATGCATGTTCGGAAGGCAAGGCCATCGTTATAACGGCAGCACACTTGTTTTGACTTCGATCTTGGAACATGCTGATGATAGTCTTCGGAGTTCAGGAGTTAAGTAGTTGCGGAGCTCTAATTTCGAAAGCTTTCAATGCGTGTTCAAGTGATGTTCTTTTGGCCATGACGTCTATAAGCGTGGCGTATCCATAACAGTTGGCAATTGGTTCGCTGGTTGGTGCTATGCTAGATCAACGAGAAAGGTCACGAACTTTTCCATGTAACTTCATCCATTTGTTGGCTCGTTCGTTCTTTCCGAAAATTAATATTTTCGTCGCTATTTTCATTATCCTTTTTGCCAGCCATTCTAGCTTTACACTGGTACACTATTCTGATGCTGTTTAGAAGGTTCGAGTTTTATGATGTTCTTAATACGAACGGTCAGTCCAGCCTGTGTGCTGGGTGTGCTGTTTGTCCGGAGCTGTGAGACGACACAACCGCTGGGGGTTTGAGTTGCCCCTGCCTGGCTGCAGTCTGTTATTCAGCTATGAGATGGGGGGGGGGGGGGGGACGGTTCCCGTCCCGAAACGTCGAGAAGAAAGTAGGTTGAATTCGGGGCGGAAGCGGTTTTTGGTGTGTTTTACATGCATGGTTACCCATTTTCCCTCGCTCAGCCCAGTTTATCCTCCACCTTTTTTGGCAATGTATGACCCTGGCGTCGTGTTGAACACCGTATGTGTCTGACTCTATGTGATGCATTGGAACCCACAACTGATCAACCCTTCTACTGTGTTATGATTCCGGCGCCAAGTGGTCGCGTCGAGGCACCTCGTACCAGCCTATACTCAGCAACTGCAGTTTGTGTCCTGTCTGGTCCCGCGCACCTGGGTAGGAGCGGCGTTGTATGCCTCTCACACCTGGACTTCAGCTGCAGTGCAGCGGCTGCAGTTGTGTGAGCGTGGCTGCTGGTACGGCACGGATGGCATGCTGTGACGCCTCACGCCGTGTCTCAACCTCTGCCCACTACTTGCAGAGCGCTACTGCTTGTATCGACACCGGCAGCGTGTTGTAATGCCGCACGCTCCACGTTGCAGCTTCGGTGCAATACCTGCAGTTTATGTACCAGCGCGGCTGCCTGTACCGGCTAAAGGCGCTGGGCGAGCGCCGCGACATGGACATCACGATAGAGGGCTTTCACTCGTGGATGTGGAAGGGACTCACGTTCCTGCTGCCGTTCCTCTACATCGGCTACGCGTTCGAGTTCTACAACGCGTTCACCCTGCATCAGCTCAGCTCACACCCGGAGGCCACGTGGCAGGTAAGGGCGGGCCGAGGTGGAGGTGCCGCGCCCACATGCCGTCTCTCCTGCTGACGTTGCTGGGGTCGTTTTGTGGTGACGGGGTGCTGGTTAGCTAGTCCCCTGCTGGGAGGGTTTGACTCGTCGTACCAACCGAATCGAGTTTTAGGTTGAGGGGCTGTGGGGTAATGCTGCCACATTGCCTTCATGAGGGCGTCCACATGTGACATGGTGTTCCTGGAGGCCCATGTTTGGCTTTAGGGCTTTCATCAGCTCGTCATTGCTTGCGGACCGGCTTAAACTTCCAACGCGACCGGTGACCGGGACCGAAGCCGTCGCCGCGTGCCGCGCGGCGTCCACCTGACTCCTGCTGTAGCGGCGTGTTGCGGTGTGTTCAGCTCGTAGCGATCCAGACTCGTGCGCAACACCTCCATCTGACGGCCGCGCCGCTGTCGCAGGTGTTGGCGCTGAGCATCCTCTTCCTGGTGCTGGCCGTCGGCAACACCATCACCACGTCGCTGGTGATCCGGCAGAAGCTCAAGGAGGACTGGAAGCTCAAGTACCGCTTCACGCGGCTCGACAAGCACGTGTGGTCGCACAAGAGCCGGAGCCGGTGCGCCTCTGCTCGCCAGGCGGACGACACGCCGGGCACGGGTGGGCAAGGTCAGGCGACGCACCGACGCCGGCCCGGGCTGGATGTACTGGTTCTTAGGTGTCAGCAGTTCTTTTTTAAAAAATATATCTCGAAGGGTGACACTCGTTAATGTATAACACTTGGCTCGCTACACTGCTCTGCTCAGGCTTCACTGTTTGTCCCAACGTACAATGAAGCTGGTGACGAGTCATGCCAGTTATGGACAGGTCCAGAGTCGAGATCCCTGTTGTGTTGCCTTCGCGAGTCGCTCGCGCTGGTCGTCACCGACAAAGGTGGCACTGTCGTCTGCTGGTACGGGCGAGCACGCTGCCAACCGACCGGCGTGTGTCGGGTGCGGGGTGATGACCGTGACCATGGCCCGTCGCCAGAGGAACTGGGCAGCGGAGACTCAGCCGAGTCGCTCGCCAGCAGTCACTCGGAGGAGGGCGGCGGCGGCGAGCCCTCCAAGAAGGACGACTAGCGCTGGCTGCAGCACGCGTCCCCCTCCCCCCACCCCCACCCCGCCACCCCTCCCTCTCGGTGTGTCTCTGTGTGGCGTTCAAAACGCCGTCTGTTCGTGACTCTTTCGAGCCGGTGCGACATAGTCATTGTTACGTATTAATGGTGTTCGCAGAAGCACAGACTCTGTAGCTGGGTACTTCGTCAACTGCGCCTGGAATCAGTAGAAGAAAATAAATTATTTGCGCAGTGTAGTCTGATCAGAGTACGGAGAATGGAGCTGTGTTGATCACCCTGTACTATGATTACGGCTCAGGCGATTGTAGTTCCGACTGGGGCAGATACTATGCAGCATTCAGTGGGAGAAGGTAGAAAATGTTGATTTCAGCTGCGATGGTTTGGGTTCGAGACTCGCTAGGCGCCGCCAACTGTGTGTTTGTTTTCTGAAATGAAATCGGCACGAGAGATGGCGTCGATTCTGACAGATGCACCCATCTACCCGTACATACCGCTTCAATGCCGAAACGTTTATGCTATGCTTCGTGTTTAACGTAGCCTAACATTGCACGAGCATGAACCCTCACGCCAATACAGATCAGTACAGGATGTCCGCGGCCTGTCATCGCTTGTCCAGCATCTGCATGCCTGATGTGCAAGCCATTTGGGCGCGGCGGCCAGCATGCGTAGCACCATTCAGAGAGTCCCCGCAAACACGGCAGCTGAGAGAAAACTCACGGCGTGCGGCCGGTGACGCGCTGCGTCGGAGGAGTCTCTCTGCGAGTGAGGGGCGCCGACAGACTGTACAACCGAACTTCTTCAACGCAGAGAGCTGGCTTCTTCAGCGCAGCGGAGAGCTGGCACAGGCGGATCTGCTTTGCGAACGAACCTACTGCTCTAAACGTGTGACAACGGAGCGGCTTCCCGGTGTGGTCAAGGCTGCAAGTAATTGGATATGTCCCATAGATGTGCGCTTCTCGTCAGATTCCGCTGTGTCCACAGTGGGACGTCTGCAGCCTGGTACGGAATAGAAAACCGTGTAGTTTTGTATTCGGTGTGGGGGAGAAGCTCCAGCCCCTTCACTTTGAGAGCAAAGTGGGTCAGATCCGGTGAAAACCCCTTTTTACGGATTTGGAGGCATGGCAAACCGTTTTCCCTACTTAAAGGGAATGTTCCACATTTCAAGATATTAAAGCAAGCATCGAATATGATAAAATGCTCACCGATAGCTATTAGTGTCATAAGTGGAAAAGATGGCTCTAGACAACAAAAGTTCACTATTCAGCAGCTGGTTTGTGCAAGCCATGTGAGCGGGCGATGGGCGCGTGCAGGATTTAGCAATGGGGAAACTCAATATTTTACACTGAAAACCCCATGCTAGTGTGATCAGGTGAGCAAAAGTGTTTGGATGTTGTGTTGTGCGTAGGACACTAACACAAGTCACTTCGTGCAAATATATTGGCCTTCGCGATGAAGTGGCGAGTCCCTCGCCTATCGAAAGCGCTCGCTGCGGCTGGGGAGGCAGCGGGATAAGCCGAAGCTGGCCTGTGGCATCTCGGAGAAGAACATGTCGGATAATAGGAACTCTTCACGAACGTTAAGGGCTTTAAATGCTGAAATGATAATTGGTAATGATTGATTAAATGATAATTAAGTGAGCCGTTGCTGGCGGGAGACAACGTTAACAAATGGTTGCGGGCAAAGCCGACGTGGCTGACATGATCATATTACTTGTAATGAAATCACCGCATCAAATACGGTGCCATCTACTGATGCCGGAGGCGGGGTCGACGCGTTTGCATGGGCGCCGCCTATAGTAGTAGTGGCGCCGCCTACAGGATAGAAGTTCCCCATGTGTTAGTCCACTTCTGTTCTTGCCTACCTCGTTTGTTATTGTCAGTTGTTTTACATCATCACCAACCTGAACCAGCGTTGGTGTTTTAACTAGCAAAAAAAAAATGAAACAAGGACGTGGCTAAGAAATGATTGAGTTTGTGCTCTGATAGAAAATGGGCAAAAGTAAAGCAACAGTGGCATCAGGGAGAGTTTGGAGAGCGGAATATGTCTTTGAAGAGTATCCGAACCCTTTGCATGGATGGATTTCTTGGATCAGAGCTCATGCTGAGCAGTGCTTGTGTCAGCCTGACCCGTACCATCCGATCGCACAAATCCACGTCAAAGGCAGAATTTGCGGATGCTTACACAACGTGCCACAATGCCCAGTACGGTCCGTCCTGCCCTGAGCCCTCTGACGTGATCTGACCTTTATTGCAGCTGCTGCCACCGGCCGCATGCCGTATCTGTCAAGGACAAATAGCGAGCGCCTAAAGCGGATTCAACTTGCCCTGCTACATATCGACCAAACAGCCCACGTCGGGTTGGCATGCGTGTTTTCCAACAGTTCCACATTTTTTTATTGTTTCTGGGCACTGATAAGCCGTGAAAATGATCTTCAGCTGTAATTGCCTCGAAAACAGCTGTGCAGCCTATAGCCATAATAACATCCTTGGAACGATGACATACTGGATAGCAAATTATGGGCTGCGGTCACCTGGCGTATCATGTCATTACAAGTGCAAGTACTTTTCCATGTGCTCCAACCTTGTCCATCTCTATAGCTACTAACTCCCTCTCTTGCATGAACTAGTAACTACTTATCAACTCGTGACGTCATGCAATCACAGTAAACAGTACCGGAGTGTGCGCCCGCGTGCGCTGAGGTGATGTACGTGCCGTCGAGAAGAAAGTGGCAGTAACATGACAGAAAAACATCCGCAGGTGAGTCTTTACGTTAAAATCGCGTAGAATTTACAGTTCGTGTTTCTTGGTGCCTGAGGCCGCTCCATAGTCAACAGAAGCCGTTGCGAAATAACTCGTTGGGCCGCGCGATGTGCGATTTCTGTGTGAGGGCTGCCCGACAAGGTCCTGGCGTGGCGCGCGGCGGGGGCAGAGGGGAGGGGTATTAGATTGGGTGGCACGACTGTGCCGTGTCAGGAACGAGCCGGGGGGGGGGGGCGATCAGCTGACGCGGTTACGCGGTTGACGAGTGGTGGTACTGGGGAGGGGAGTAACATTCGCACTTAGAATATGTTGTCTAGAAAAGTGATTCATTGAGCAGTAGTCATTTGCGCATTCTGTAAAACTATCCTCATACGAGGGTGATGTAAAATGGCTTCCGTGCAGGACACTCGAGTTTGGTAGCTGCGTGGGTTTTGTGTGGAAACTCGAATGGCTTTGAATGATCGTGAATATGGTGCATATCTGCCTATTTTTCGTCGCCGTAGTTTGCATTTCTTGTTTTTGCTACTGAACCAAAGGCATATGTTCCTCGATGGTCCGAGTTACGCGGACACAGGTGCAGCCGCGTATCTTAAGCGTTTTCTTGCTTGACTGCAATCCGACACCATCGATCACTCTTATTTCCGGACAAAGGGTCGACGGAGGACACCATAAATAGCAACAGCGGCGGTGCCAGGGACGTGGCGCTGCACTGTTTCTGGGAGCGTTCATGTCCGAAAGTTCAGTCGGCTGAAAAACATGAGTGACACAACTTGCAAAGGATGGTGGCGTTGTGAGCGCTCACGCGGGCGTAAAAACGGGATGACAGCTGCGTCTGGACGCTGGAAAAAGAGCTCACATCGGTCACACGGTAACGGGATGAAAACGCTCCGAATCCCCACTTTATGAGGTTCACTCGTCTCCGCGCGACCTGACACCGCCCCTGCGCACGGCATGTCGTACGCTGCCGAGGGGGAAGAGTCGCCGGGGCTGTCCAGCCGTCCAGCATGCGGGACTGGTGTAGCAAGTCGAGGGCCTTTTGGCATTTTTTGGAGCTGCAGAGACTACGGAGCGTCTCTACACTTAAGACTGTCGTCGGTTGGTGGCCTGTTTCATTACGCTGGAGGGCGCAATCAGCCAAAGCTGTTTCACGACGATTGAGTGATCGTAAGAGGGAGTGTTCCACATTTGAATGGGGTTTTGAACTGAATTAGCCATCTCGAAGGTCATTCGGAGCAGATCACAGCCCTTGCTCTTCTGAAGACCTGAAACATTTTAGTTTCTGAGATACACGCCCTCGAAGATGTGCAGATTTTTCGGGGAGACTATTTCAATGACACCCAGGCATCCATGACATAATGACGTCGTTCAACGTGTGCCATTCCATGTCCATGCAGCGATTAAGACCAACACAAATGTAATTATCGATTCGCTCATATCAGACTTTCGCGAACACGATTTCCAGATATAACGGCCGTCAGTTGGTGCCCAATTCAGTGTTGTGCATGGTACGATGTTGCAATAAAAAGTGACGCAGTGAGGAGCATGTTAACTAAATAAAGAAATTGTGTCGCCTAGAACGGCTTTTTTCCCTTAAGAGTACACAATAAGTTATAAGTGATCGTATTTCATCATATCTGACGCTTCTTTAAATGTTAAACGCTCCCTTCGTAATGTCAACACGTTGCACATTAGGTCAAGGTTATAAGCAAAATATGAACGCAAAGGGGCGCAAAATTTCGTCGTGGCAGCCGCCGAGATGGGGGCACTACTGTCGCCTCGTTGACAGCCCCGATATCCGCCTGTGCCGCCCGCGCAGGTTGTGGGCGCTCCCTGCGGTCAGCACGGCTCCTACGTCTTCCACAAAGCCTTCAGCTTCGTCAGCGGCGGCCGGCGGCGCGTGCTGGCGCTGGGCGAATTCTTCTTCGTGCGGCCGTGGCCGGACCAAGAGACGCTGGCCATCTGCGAACTACAGCTGCTCTACCAGGACGGCAGTGACGGCCAGCCGCTGGCCTACGTCCGCCTGTACTTCCTGCCAGAGGACACGCCAGAGGGCCGGCTGGAGAGCCACGGCGAGGTGAGCCCCCCCCCCCCCCCCCGCCCCTGTAACCGGGCGCCGCCGCCCGGCCCGGCCCGGCCCGAGCCGCGCTCGCAGCCCGTGCAATGGAAACGGCCGCCTCCGACCTTGAGGCTGGCGTCGGCCCGACCGATTCATGTCCGCCAGGCGCTCTGGTGTGCATGTCCTTCGCAGAGCACGGTCGTTTGGCGGCCGGCCTTCGGGTCGCCTTCCCGGCTGCTCGGCATCACGATGCGATGGTGGCCATTTGTTTGCATGTTCTTGTTTTGCGCGCGTCATGATCAGTTTTTGGTCCCAACCTTTGGTGAATGGGAGTTGAGCGAAGTTTTGGAAGAAATGCGGGCGATAATGGGCGTTCACACGGATGGTTGGGGTTGTAATTGGGTCCATGTGCGGAAACCTGCGGGTCAGAAACTTTCCTGCCAGAAATCGATGATTATGTGGTTGGCACCCCATTTAGACTGATCGCTGCGCTCGATTTCGAAATTCATGAAACATTAGAATGTCATCGATAGATTTGTATTGGGACGCAGTGGCTCATGGGCCATCCAATGATACCATGTGCAGGTGTTCTCCCACACGCACCCCGAAGTGACAAGTGTGAGTAACTCGTTATATCACCATTCCCCTTCTCAAGCCCATTTGTATCTCTTGCACCGCATGCGGGATATATTGGCGAGCTCTTAATTTTGCGTCCATACATTGAGCCGACTTACAGGACGGAATATGGAGTTGTCGCATGACCGATGGTTGTAA